TGCCCTCTCTCCAGTGAACTATTGACTAACATTCCCAATATGTCTAGATATGGTTTCCCCACGTCTCGCACAAACATGGCGATAATCTTGGCTGCAAATCATTTGGCACTACATGATAAATTGCGCGGTTCACTCATCATATTCATACACGGTGTCTAAAGCTACTTCATTGACCGAAATTACGTTTTAAACATCCATCGTTTTTAAAATGGCATTTACTATAAAGATATCACCCTCGTGTGTTTCAGTATCATAAGTATCATTAGGAATAAAACAGTTGCATTATGTTCGCATAATCGCATAACACAAATTTTATTTCTATGCTAATCACCTAGTAGCCAATCATATGCTGGCTCCCCTTGTTAGTTTCCACCCATTGTTATTTTCCAACTTTTGTTATCTTATTATTTTTGTTGCCCTTACAGGTACATATATATGCCCTCTGCCTCATGACATTCATTCACATGCTGAAGGAGTAAGCATATACTCCGAACGTTGTGTTCCTCATAGTAAAGAAGTTGACATCCATCAATTCCACCCATTGCTATTTTCCACCTTTTTTTATCTTATTAATTTTGTTGCCCTTACAGGAACATATAAATGACCTCTGCCTCATGACATTCATTCACATGATGAAGGAGTAAGCATGTACTCCGAAACGTTGTGTTCATCATAATAAAGAAGTTGACATCCATCAATTCCACCCATTGCTATTTTCCACCTTTTGTTATCTTATTTATTTTGTTGCCCTTACAGGTACATATATATGCCCTCTGCCTCATGACATTCATTCACATGATGAAGGAGTAAGCATGTACTCCGAAACGTTGTGTTCATCATAATAAAGAAGTTGACATCCATCAATTCTCTTCCTTATGTGTATCACTTCCAAATGCCTGTCAAAAACCTGATTTAACAAAGCTGCTTGTAGCAAAAGAGAAAAGCTATTTTGATATCTTCTTCTACATCAGTTGCCTGCAGACCATGATGGATGTACAATACACACAATAACTGACGGTCATTATCCTTGATTGGCTTTTAGCTGTGTGGCTTGTGCAAATGAATCATTTTGGGAAATCTGAATGCACATTTCAACAAATCTGCCGCAACTAACTCAAACGGGAAATGTTTTACATATGAAGTATCACAACTAAACTGGCAATGATAGAATGTTATCAGTTATTGGGAGTGGTCTTTTAATCCAGAAGTGGCATCAAAGCTGTTAAACTAAACTGGTGTCATCACTATTTGATAGTGGTTCCTTAACATATTTAGTAGGAATCGTACAATGGACTGATGATTATGGAAAGGGTTTGTCGATGGTTTTCATAAATTTGATGTAGCACAACTCAGTCTAGCGTCATTAGTCACCAAGGTCATGTTTAACCTACCTGTCAGGGTAAAACATGAAAGAATGAGTCCCATACTCCTGTTTGCAACAAATGAATCTTCAGCACTTTTATTTCTGCTTTTCCTCGCGGCGATGATGCCGATGATGAGGATGAGGATGTAGAACACGATGACGGATATGAGTCCAGCGACGTTCACAGCCATGATGTCGATGACGATCTCCTTGTGTGGTGAATTCTCTTACACATGATCTGTCCCAATTTCCAGTGGGGTTGTCACGGCTGTTAGGTTAGTCAACAGCACGTTCCTATAACACTGTAATTCTCATGAAAGTCACACACTACATTTTTAAGGATATTGAATGTGTGAGTATGGTTTTAACCATATTCCAGCAATATCACGGCGGGGGATACCAAAAATGGACTTCACACTTTGTACCCATGTGGGGAATCGAACCCGGCGTGACGAGAGATGGCTTTAACCACCCGCCGCCCCTGAATGATTTTGAAGTGAACTAGCAATGCGTTGTTTATCATAATGATAATGAGATATTCCAATTCCTATTCCTTTTAACAAAGTTAAAACTGCCGGACAAAAGAAAATATATACTTGAACACCGGATTTGACCAACAAATTACATCCGCAATCAAAACGTTACTAGGCTGAAAACAGTCGCCGAAACGCTGAAACATAAGCACCAAAACACAATTGTGATACCCGTATCAAATTCATCACCATCAAAGAACCTTTTCTTGTTTATTTCATTTAGAGCCACCGTCAAACGTGGGTGTATACTTTCTTTTTCTCTTAAGTTTATTCCAAAGGGAACAGGTCGGCATAAAGAAGACGAGAGACTTGGCGCAAATCGGAATCCCATCCACTTTTGGTAAAATGAATAAAGTGATAGATAAACATTACACGCTAACGCCTCCGGGTCGAAATGAGAGAGTGGGTTTGATCTAACATCACTTTGGACTGTATGATTTGTTGTATGTTGTTGGTTTGTTGTTTAACGCCGCACTCAGCAATATTCCAGCTATATGACAGCGGTCTGTGTCTGTACATTGAGTTGACCGTGATGACAATTAATGGACGAATGATACACTTAGTTAACAACTGTGAGGAGGAAGGGAGACGATTTCTTTGACTAAATACCTTTGCACAGAGAGAGACTATTGTGAGGTTCCATGTTGAAAGAGGGGGTACGGGGGGCCCAGCCTTCAATAAGGCGCCGCGATTCGCTGTGCAGAGTTGCGTCGCTTGGGCACGCCCGAAACATATGATTGTGGGTTCGAATCCCGGTCGCCCCGATTATGTTTCTAGGTTTGTCAGCACCATGCCCGTGCTCGTGGGTTTCACCGAAGTGGTAAACGTCTTAGACCTGCACCACTTCGTGCTTTCCTCCCACATTAAGCTGACACGCCGTGATATAATTGGAATAATAGAAGCGGCGTTGGACCCAACTCACTCACTCCCTCACTCACTGTTATATGGTGACGAAAGCCCAAATAGGCTTTCAGAAATTTCAGAAATATGATCTTCATATCGATGTGTCAGAAACGTTATAACATAATTTCCATATGGACAGAAGCTCTGATGATTGCAGAACATTCGAATACGCTTTGAAATATGTGGCAACGTCATTAGAAATTCTTGGCACTTGTCTTTACGAATCAAAAAGGTTTTGGAAGATATTAGATTTCACTAAATCTAGGAATAATTTAATACTGAGCCCTTAAATATTTATACATGTCACCTCCAACTGTTTGACAAGGATCTTCTTGATATGCATCCTTCAGCATACTGTTTAAAATATAAGATTTATCATATTCCAAAGAACATATTTTAATTAAAAGTGCTTCTCAGTGATTTCTTTGATACGTTCCTAAAACCGAGCTATTGATACTTCCATTCTTCTATTTTCTACAGTGAATAATCTATTAAAACACACGCTCATATTTATATATTCAACGATACATATGTAAATTTTATCTGACAATGAAACAGTGTTAGATATTGTCATCAGCTTTTAACAAATTTATGAATACACTCTTCAAGTGTTTAAAAATGTTATAAATATCCAAAATGTATAAACAACATATTTAAAATGACGTGATAAGTGTTACATGCAGAAAATATGTCAATAATGCCTTTAAATTGTTGCATCGGTGACGAGAATTGTAGTTTATATGAACGGTCCATTTGGAGGTTGAGTGGATGCTAGAATTGATCAGAAATACCTTTAGATTTTTTAAAGGTACCGACAGAAGGGTTACACGAATTTATTTTTAGGAGGGCACATTAGGCTACACAATAATGAAGTTTGTACCTCGCAAATGAACAGCGGAAAACTACAGATGCCACTGGTATCATGTACATATCTTACTTTGTTGTGAGAAGATACATAAACAAGCACCTGCTCCTTGGCAATGTGTGAAGGAGTGTATTATTGTTGTTGTTTATAAATTAGGTAGTTGGTAGTCAGTGTCGATTAATGTACATTGATATATTCGGCTTCACGTTCTCTAACAGGTATATTCGTGTGTCTGTGTATGTGTCTGTGTGTTCGCATGGGCTTAAATGATACATCAGCTTCCATGAAATACCATCTACTTTATGTTTATTGAAAAATACTAAATGGAATACACTGTTTCTATCAGATAACGTTGCTAGCATTTTAAGGAATTGAATTGAACTAATCACATTGACAAAACAACACTTTTATACAATGTAACAAAATGAATATAATTAGTTATTCAAATCCATTAACTATCACAATTAAACATTGACTGAACCTCCCGAGGCGTAGAGCTCGTAGTATGAAGAAAGCCAAACTTCTCTGTGAACTACCAGTCCGCTTCGGGCTTATAGCTCGTACATCACAGTTTCTTTTATGGATCATTGAAAATAGTCATCCCGAAGTTTCACTTTTTTATTTTGTGCACAATCTCTGTAACCACCCTCTCGTTCCTTCATCATCAGACTTTCTCCTCGCTCTTCGGCCCTCTTGGCGTCCTCTTCTCTCTTCATCACATTAAACACATCCCATCTGGTTGACAACCACCCTCGCCGGAACACAAGCCTTGTGAACGCTGACACAGATATGATGGCCACAAAGTTGACTATCATCGCCAGAGTCTTGAAAGGGAACAGTTGGCCATCAGCTTCTGTATAAAAAGGGAAGTGGATAAGAGACGGTATGCTGAGCAGAGGGTCCCCACCAGATATTCTCAAGAGGAGGCTGAGGACGTAGCCGGCGAGCGCGCCGTAGGTGTTGGTGAACCCGATCCAGAGAACACAGGTGAGTTGGGGGAAGAGGATAACGTACATAAGGTCGGAACACATGTAGAACAGTCCGTAAACTGAATTCACTAGGATGGCAATGATGCACGACAACGTGCCGGTCACCAGTATTCCACCTCTCATCACCCACATCAATTCCCGATCGCTGGCCTAGAGAAGGAAAATGCTTTCATTTAGACATTAGAAGCTGATAATGAGCAAAACCGTAGCCGTGGCGTTTAATATTATAACAAAAACGTTATCAAAGCTGTACTAAAACGTTATTTCTTTAGCATTTCAGTGTAACGTATAACAGACTCAAAAGAAATAAGTAAATAAGTAACTATATTCTCTAAAGCTAAATATACCTGTGGACGTATGACATCTTTGTAGATATTCTTAGCAAAGATGGTTCCACTTGAGAGGACAGCGGAATCGGCAGATGACATAACAGCAGCAGCCACCACACCAAGTCCCAACACTCCAACCGGAAGTGGACACAGGTAGTTGAGCACCATGGGAAGGATAAAACTGTGGTATTCAGGAGGTATTGGGATATCGCCTGTGTAGGATGTGGCATTCCAGTCTGACAAAAACAACATGAACGCAATTAAGGGTTTTGTGGAGTACAAACGTATCTGATAAAGTTGTATAAATGACCATTTTAGTCAATTTGATTTTAAAGGGTAATATGTTGATAATACCTGACCCAGTTCAGAAATGACTTATTAGGGGACTTCCCAATTTTTAGGTAAATAAATATAATTGACATACTGACCTACGGCTGCCCCAACTACTCCAATGGCTGCTGGGGGAATGGAAAGAAGTAAACTACACAATGCTGCTAGAAGCGAACTTGTGCGAGCAACACTGGGTGTCTTGGAAGCCAACACTCTCTGGTAGAAAGCCTGCATGGAAAATGTAGGTCTGCATTACCAACGTGACAGATACAAGGTATAAAGAAAACCGTAAATTGTATATCACATATGGCAGTCTCTTGTAGAACACCTGCAAAGAAACAGAAATATAGAGAATCTTCATAAAAAGGCATGAATGATATCCTATCCTTCATACCTGTATGATTGCAGTCACGATCTGACAGTGTCAGTAAACAACACCTCGAGGTGATCTATGGATTCACATCAGCACTTATTTAACACATATAAAAACCACTTATATATAATCAGCCACTTGTTCGATGACAACACTTGCACACCTATCCCAAGCATCGTGTTAGCACATTTGACGGTATGATATTGACGGCAAGGTATTACAACGTACTATAACTATAAACTCGCACAGAGTGAAAGACAGACATTGAAATGATATTTGAAATTGTCATATTATTATGCAAATCAAGGTTAAGGGTGAGGTGCGATCTGACCTTATTTATCAGTATTTTGCTGACAATCTTTGGACAGATAAAAATTTATAATAATATTTAAATCAATAAAGTTATCTGAAGTGTACAGAGGGACTGTGGTTTCGAGTAAAAGATACCGAAATTGAATTTAATTACACAATTTAATGGATCTGGTCAATTTCTTAAAACTGAAAGAAATTCCTGTTTGACAATATCTTTGTCCAACGTAAGTTAATAGCATAGACAAAAGTTGTTGGTATCGCCCTGGCTACAAACGTGTCCTTTTCTTTGCAGATCTGTTTCATTTTGCATACGAATTCTTAAATAAGAGAAAAATCACGATGTCAAGAAGTTATACATCAGCTTCAGATATAGATATGACCTCATAAGAAAGTATTCAGGGCTGTGCATATTTGCGTCCCCTGGGCACGCCAGAACCGATTATTGTGGGTTCGAATCCCGGTTCGCGCCAATTAAGTTTCTAGGTTTATCAGCACCATACCCGTGCTTGTGGGTTTCACCGAAGTGGTAAACGTCTGAGACCTGCATCACTTCGGGCTTTCTTACATATTAAGCTAACACGCCATGATATAACCGGAATACTGTTCAAGGCGGTGTTAAGCCCAACTCACTCACTACTTACTTCGATAGCTGTTATTGAAATCTAAATGATTGCACTGTCGAAATTGTATGTGTTGGAGGTCACTGTGCATTCGGGCTTTCCTCCCACAGTAAGCTGACACGCCGTGATATAATAGGAATACTGTTAGAAGCGCCGATAAACCAAACTCACCAACTCTTATCTGGATCTGGGCATAGAAATTAAAATGATGCATGGCAACCTCTGCACAAAGCTGTGAGACAAAATGGATTATTTCAATTTCCCAGTGTTTGATTTCACAATTCATGTTGAGCTGTATGATCAACTGTTATGACATAAAATCCTTTTGATTATCAAATAATAAGAAAATAGTAGTTATGCATGAAAAATGCGTGTGCAATATGTTCAAGATCCATGGAAATATAGAACAATAAGTTATAGCAAGCACGTATGTGCACATTATGTCATTAAAGTAAATATTGGCCTTAAGAACAATAAACGATTGCCATTGTCATTTCCATTGACAATATACCATCAGTTCCAGCTGATCGTGTCTATATTTCTCAATTGCTTTGGTCATTAGAGCATGAACCTTTTAGTCAAATGTCACGGGAAGACACGCTTTGCTTACAAATCAAGGTTTTACCATCGAAACCTGATTAAGTAATTCTCGAAATGTTTATACTGATTATTCAGAGGCATTTACTACGACACTTCACTTGTCAACGTGAAGTGCGATGCTGACCCATATATATGAAGGGCAGACACACGATAGAGCAGGGAATGCATATGCTGAACCTCTTCGCGAATTGCTGGTTGTATCACTGATTATAGCACCTCTGAAATTGATCCTGCTTTGCATGGCGATAGGTGAGGTGAGGTGAAATGGGGGTTAACGTCGCGTCCAAGATTATTGCACTTATATAGCGACGTGCATGTTCGTGAGTGTGTTTGTGTGGCTGCTTGTACTAGTCCGGACTGATGCCGATTTATAGTGCTAGCTCACTGAGATACCATGCCGCAGTTTAACATGAATATCCCACTCACTTGTTTTAGCCCCGTAATACCGAGCGCCAGACAGGGCAACAACAAGTACCATCTTTTAACGTCTTTTGGTATGACGCGGCCGGGGATTGAACCCCGAACCTTCCGCTCTCCGGGCGGACCCTCTACCACTAGACCACGGAGGCGGTTGCATGGCGATACATGGAAAAACACGTTGTATATACATGTGCGATAACCAATATAAATATACCAGTAAATGTTCTGTAACTTTTTCTTTGCTATTTTTAGTGGTTCAAAGGGGTTTAATGCCTTATAATTTCGAACTCAATTGAGTTCATGGGTGGCAAATCTTTGGGACATACATCTGTGGATATGAACTACAACGCATGAACCACATACCTGCCACGATAAACCCCCAAAGACCACCTGACAAGACACATCTGCATATACACCAATCTGGTTTGTGGGCAGCTCACCCAACCACGTGTCCTTGATGCGGGAGAGGTCAACAGATGGGTGGAAGAAGGCAAACGGAAATGACACAATCTGAAAGGAAAGAGAGTGAGTGAGTGAGTATGGTTTTACGCCGCTTTTAGCAATATTCCCGCAATATCACTGCGGGGGACACCAGAAATGGGCTTCACACATTTTACCCATGTCGGGAATCGAACCCGGGCCTTCGGCGTGACGAGCGAACGCTTTAACCACGAGGCTACCCGACCGCCCCGAAAGGAAAGAGAATCCTCGGGCATAGCATGTAGAAAGTGGAACATTATAACGCTTTATAAGCCACATGATGAAAGAGAACCGCCATAGTAAAATATGTATACATTCATAATCACTGACTATTGTTGTGTAATTTTATATTCTTACAGTGTGATTATTTTTGTCTTAATCCTCACCTGTGCGCTCTATCATAGAATATTATCCTGACCGGTCCAACAGAGAAATGTATTGTATGACAACAGTGTAGATCCATCAAGTGTTCCTGACACAGGCATCAATCATCCGACACATCTTAAAAACAATGTTTCACGTTAGCCAACTATTCTACCTTATAATGATATCCTTACCAGTCCCACGCAAAGACAAATGAGCTGGATGACATCAGTGTAGGCCACAGAGTACAGTCCTCCGATGAAGGTGTAGAACACGGCCACACAGGTGGAAACGATGACGGACAAGACGGGATCCAGATCCAGGATAAGGGACATGGTGGACCCTGTAATATTGCACAGTCCGGAAGTCAACATAAATAAACTGCCGGGCAAGACAAATTCTACCATGAGTTTGGAATTTACTCGATTCTGATTGGTCAATCAGAGGCTATTTAATCACAATAAACCCCCTCTGATTGAAACAGCTGGTTTGACGACCGCATCACCGCGGAAGCTGATATTCACAGAATAGTACTTTTTTCAGTCATTGTCGGTAGGCATATTTAAATAATTATATCTACAATTACAGGTTACAAAATGCACAGGTGCGGTTACTACAATATTCAAAGGATGTGGCAATGCATTTCGTGCAGAAAACACGATAGAAATCTACAAAGGGAATGTATTTACATTTTGGAGACATCAGGGAGCTTGGAATTTTTGCGCTTTTCTATATACGACTGTGACGTCATAGCTTTTTCGCGTTCGGTTCCAAATTCAATTTAGCGGGGTTAAATCTACAGGTAACCTAGCTCTACATTGAAAACACAGTATGTTTATCTCCTAAGTATACACTTGAAAATTTGAGTTTACCAAAAGATTTCAAACGTTACTAGGCTGATTTATAATGTATGTTATATAGCCTATGACACCCTATCAAATACATCACCATCGAATAACCATTTCTTATTTTTCTTTTTTAGTCACTATCAAACCTAAATGGGTGTATACAGTCTTGCGACGGATGTTTATCATCGATAGGATAACAGAATGTTTATATTTGCTCATTATCTTCGTATGTCATGACCAAGACGGTAAGACTATATGACATGTATGACATGAATTTTGACCTCCAATACGATGACGAATAAATGCAATATCGTTAGGACTGTCATAGTCTCACCCAGAGCAGACAAGATGGCGGCTGTCCAGAAGACATCTCCCATCAGCTGGGGGAAGAAGAGAAGACTTCCGGCACGATCTCCCAACTTTGCCTGGATGGGGTCGAACATGGTGATATATCCTCCTCTCCTCATTTTAGGCGCGTAGAAAACTGCAGCTGAGGATTTATTTGAATAGTTGATTTTTGTAAGTGAAATTGATGGCGCTGTTCTATAATCTCGTCTTAAACGGTAAACTGTGCTGTCAGGATCTAAGTTTCAGTTTTCAGGAAAAAAATTAATATGAGGCGACTATGAACCATTGGTGTCTACAACCATCTCTTTATATATTGATTTAGTTGAATTCATCTTACCAATGACAAATGATACACAATACAGTATAGGAGCGTTGGTCCAGATGAGGCCGCTGAATGCCATGGCTTCCGCTGTACCATTGATGTAGCCTCCCCCGATGTTGGTAGCTGAAGAAGTGTCTCCGTGTTATTACATGTCATATAGCCAAAGAAAATATACATTATCAAATGTTAATAAATGAACGAGGTCTCTTTCAGGCAGTCTGAAAAAAACCTCTTATTGCAATGTCATAATTGGTAATGACATCGATAATAAATATTTTTGAATATTTGGCATTACTCTGACATTCAGCCTTCCGTGGTGAGCTCTGGTTAAATGGCTTCACCAAGGAATTAACAATAGCTGGCTGATTTTGTACCACATATTCCTATTCGTCCGGTGTCTGGTGAAAAGGACTTGGGTTTGGAAATAGTTACATTAGGAAAGCGGAGGAATAACATGTGAATGTGTGAACCTGCACTATAGGATACAGTAGCTGGCTGATTTTGTACCACATATTCCTATTCGTCCGGTGTCTGGTGAAAGGTCTTGGGTTTGGAAACAGTTACATTAGGAAAGCGGAGGAATAACATGTGAATGTGTGAACCTGCACTATAGGATACAGTAAACTACGGTTATAACGAACACGCTTATAACGAACTGACGGATATAACGAACTTAGTTTTTGGTCCCGACTATTTGCTGTAGTTATGCTGTATATAGGCTTATAACGAACTACGGTTATAACGAAATAAAATAAGTAGTCCCTTTGTGTTCGTTATAACCGTAGTTTACTGTACTTCATTTTCGTTTGTTTGTTTGTTGTTTAGCGCCGCGTCCAGCAATAGTCCAGCTATTTGACGGCAGTCTCTGAATGCATCGATCCCGTAAGTCGACTCTTACATCAACCATAGTTGCCTTGGTTTTTGTAAAGGTATGTGTTTTACTCAAAATATATATGTTTTGAATAAATTGTTCTCACCTGACAGGGTAAAGAACGTCAGCCATAGTCCCATGCTTCTATTGGCCACGAATGAGTCTTCAGCACTGTTATTTCTGCTTTTCCTGGCGGCGATGATTCCGATGACGAGGATGAGGATGTAAAACACGATGACGGAGATGAGCCCGGGAATGTTCACGGCCATGATAGCGCACTTAGTTTACCTATTGAAACAAACTGATTTTTTAGCAAAATCATAAAATCAAGATCTCAAACAAGCAAACTATCAAGCTGTTTAATCCCAGCATTATTGATATGCCAATCCAATGTGGGAATAAGATCATTAACCGAATCTTATCAATCAGTCAATGCACCCTTTGAATGCACCTTTGCATAAGCATCAGCACAACACCCTGATACACAGTCCGAACTGGTGCATGCTTATTGGATAAAAGTTTACATTCATAGTCTAACCAATGTTTTCGGATACGATGCTCAGATGTCCGAGTCCGAGACTTTCCAAATATAGCTGCATATATCAGAATGTTCCCCTCGGTAGTTGCTGAACAGGCAACGAAGGCTGAATGACAGATTGGGACATTGCCACAGGAAGTTTCTGCTGTATAGCACAGGATATGTGACCTATTCCATTGACATCTGCTTCTATTTCTCACGATATAATTGCTGTAATTGTAGCTGATTTGGATTGTGTTGGTTGCCGGTGATCTTTTGTCCGTTTTTATAACGTATTGCATTGTGTAGTTATGTCTTTTTATGGTTTACCATACTTGCTTGTTTGAATTACAATTCTGAGATAACCTGTCCTTTGTCGACAGGTTTCATATATTCTAAATGTATTATTTCATTTAAACCCAACTCACTCCCTCATTTATTTTTATTAACTCACTCACACACGTATTCATTCACTATATCATCATATCATGTTGACAGTAGTGGGTGTGAGATATGTTGTCAGCATCCGGTTTGACATAACGACAATATTGGCCTGTGATATTTACGAGACATATTTGGTCTGAGAATTTGACGACGGTGTCGCATATATGTTGACATTCGAGTCTGAGATGACAACAGTAGATGTCATATGTTGACAAGAGTAGACCGCAGACGTTGACCAAAGGGGACCTCAGATGTTGAACATAGTTGGAATAATATGTCAACAGTACCCCTTGGCACTCGATGTGTGAAAGGAATCCTTGTCGGTCATTGTGGTGGAAGGACAAGAGTATTTGTCTATCGGTGTGATAGTGTGACGGGGACCCTTGTCTGTCAGTGTGGTGGTGTGACGGGAGTCCTTGTCTGTCAGTGTGGTAGTGTGGTGGGACCCTTGTCTGTCAGTGTGGTAGTGTGACGGGAGTCCTTGTCTGTCAGTGTGATGGTGTGACGGGAGTCCTTGTCTGTCAGTGTGGTGGTGTGACGGGAGTCCTTGTCTGTCAGTGTGATGGTGTGACGGGAGTCCTTGTCTGCCAGTGCGATGGTGTGACGGGAGTCCTTGTCTGTCAGTGTGGTGGTGTGACGGGAGTCCTTGTCTGTCAGTGTGGTGGTGTGACGGGAGTCCTTGTCTGTCAGTGTGGTGGTGTGACGGGAGTCCTTGTCTGTCAGTGTGGTGGTGTGACGGGAGACCTTGTCTGTCAGTGTGATGGTGTGACGGGAGTCCTTGTCTGTCAGTGTGGTGGTGTGACGGGAGTCCTTGTCTGTCAGTGTGGTGGTGTGACGGGAGACCTTGTCTGTCAGTGTGATGGTGTGACGGGAGTCCTTGTCTGTCAGTGTGGTAGTGTGACGGGGACCCTTGTCTGTCAGTGTGATGGTGTGACGGGAGTCCTTGTCTGTCAGTGTGGTGGTGTGACGGGAGACCTTGTCTGTCAGTGTGATGGTGTGACGGGAGTCCTTGTCTGTCAGTGTGGTGGTGTGACGGGGACCCTTGTCTGTCAGTGTGGTGGTGTGGCGGGAGTCCTTGTCTGTCAGTGTGGTGGTGTGACGGGGACCCTTGTCTGTCAGTGTGGTGGTGTGACGGGAGACCTTGTCTGTCAGTGTGATGGTGTGGCGGGAGTCCTTGTCTGTCAGTGTGATGGTGTGACGGGGACCCTTGTCTGTCAGTGTAGTAGTGTCCCGGGAGACCTTGTCTGCCAGTGTGATAGTGTGACGGGAGTCCTTGTCTGCCAGTTTGTTAGTGTGACGAGAGCCCTTGTCTGTCAGTGCGGTGCTACATGGAGAGTGTTTTTTTGTTAGTATGGCAGTGTGATGGGAGCCCTTGTCTATCCGTGTGTTAGTGTGACGGGGCCCCTGTCTGTAAGTACGGTAGTGTGACGGAAGTCCTTGTCTGTCAGTGTGGTGGTGTGACTGGAGTCTTTGTCTGTCAGTGTGGCAGTGTGACGGGGTACCCTTCTCTGTCAGTGTGGGGGTACGACGCGAGTGTCTCTCGGTGTGCTAGTGTGACGGGGTCCCTTGTCTGTCAGTGTGACATTGTAACGGAAGCCCTTGTCTGTAAATGTGGTGATACGATGAGAGTATTTGTCTGTCGGTGTAGTAGTGTGACGGGAGCCCTTGTCTGTGAGTTTGTTAGTGTGACGGGGGCCCCTGTCTGTAAGTACGGTAGTGTGACGGAAGTCCTTGTCTGTCGGTGTGGTGGTGTGACGGGATCCCTTGTCTATCAGTGTGATGGGAGCCCTTGTCTATCAGTGTGATGGGAGCCCTTGTCTATCAGTGCTACGACGAGAGTCATTTACTGTTGGTGTGGCAGTGTGACGGGGACCCATGTCTATCAGTGTGATGGGAGCCCTTGTCTATCAGTGTGACGGGGGGCCTTGTCTATCAGTGTGATGGGAGCCCTTGTCTATCAGTGCTACGACGAGAGTCATTTACTGTTGGTGTGGCAGTGTGACGGGGACCCATGTCTATCAGTGTGATGGGAGCCCTTGTCTATCAGTGTGACGGGGGGCCTTGTCTATCAGTGTGATGGGAGCCCTTGTCTATCAGTGTGACGGGGGCCCTTGTCTATCAGTGTGATGGGAGCCCTTGTCTATCTGTGCTACGACGAGAGTAATTTACTGTCGATGTGGCAGTGTGACGGGGACCCTTGTCTATCAGTGTGACGGGGGCCCTTGACTATCAGTGTGGTTGGAGCCCCTGTCTATCAGTGTGATGGGAGCCCTTTTCTATCAGTGCTACGACGAGAGTAATTTACTGTTGGTGTGGTAGTGTGATGGGAGTCCTTGTCTGTAAGTATGGTAGTGTGACAGAAGCCCTTGTCAAGTACAGCCAACCACATGTACTTCAGGTTTCCTTATGATGTTTAACATGAAACAGACCTCACAAACACAACTTTGACAGTGTTTCTGGCACTGAAATGTATCTCATGAACACATCAAGCTTGCTTTGCACGAGGTTTTCAAGGGTTCATTTGATTGGTTGGTATAGTGAATATATAGTTTGGTAGTGTGGCCTTCTGATGACTGTGCTGTTCCCTCCCAGTAGATTCATTTCTTCGTCTGCTTTTTTCGAGAATATTTCTGCTGTGGTCACATGAAGTTTATGGTTCATTACAATGAAATAAGATTTAATGTTTATGTATTGCTTTTGTTGGTAATGTGTATAACGTGTGTTTTAAAGTTATGTTATGAAGTAATGTAAATTGTGGCATTGTTTCTGGTTGGAAAGTACATTTAGAAGGTTGTACTTGAAACCCGAAGACAGGTCCATTCCTCTTTTGGGATGGCTCCGTAAACCTCCGAACAAAGAGATATACAGGGCTTGGTCCAGCAAATGTACAACCGAATCCCTGTCTCAAAGATTAACTATAATCTTTAAGACAACCAAGGAAGGATGTTCCTTATATTTCCAGATAGTATTTAAGATAAGTTGAATTAATACCGTGTGGATTCTCAAAATTCAGAGGATTGGCTTGACTTTTTACAATCTCAGAAAAGAACCAGATTCAATTCTGTCACTCCTGTTCTTTTTCAACATTGTACACCTCTTTTCCAAATGATAAACGTAAGGGAAAAGCTTCATTCCTTGATCCATGGGGCTTTGGTTGCAAAACGTAGATACCTCTATCTTCAGAGGTTCAGGGCAATTTCTCAGAAATGAAAGCAAATGCCATCTAAAATTTACTGAGAAAACATTATGTGAAATGCTGAACACCCTCATTGATGACATCTATGTAAAATGTTGGGTAAGACATTAAGAAGTAGGCATCCCCATGGGCACCAATTATGCTCCCCTTCTGCTGATCTGTTTCTTTATGTATATGACTCGGAATTTGTGATCGGATTGGCCAAGTCAAAACAAGGTAATTTTGCCATGAGGTTTTACTTAAGCATCAGGCATATCGATGATTTGATATGATATCGTTCAATAATCATCAAATAGTCAACTGCCTTCCGCCGATTTACCCACTTGAATGAGAAATAAAGGAGAAAAATGGCACCGTCTTATTTGTTTCATATTTGGATCTGTGCATGAAGACACAAGACTGAATGACAAGAGGAATGACTTCAACCTTCCAATAGTCGACTTGCCCTTTATGTCGAGCAATATTCATGCAGCTCCAGCCCTAGGAGTCTACATTTCACAATCTTTGAGGTACAGCCGAACATGTTCTTCCCACGACGACAACAAGGAGTGACATACCATTCTTGCTCAGAAGTTGTTTTATCAAAGGTTACAACAATCAAGGCTTCAATAAAGCTTTCAAAAAGTCAGTGACAAGAATAATGTCCGATGCAATTCACTTCATTGACGGATGCTACCGGTGGGCAGGATACGCTCACCTTAACGCAAACACATGGTATCATAACTATTTGATAGTGATTTATTAACACATGCTCCTGATAGAGTCGGAATCGTATCCACTTTTTATTGTGACTATGGAAAGATTTTTGTCGCTTTTATTTGTGTACCTTTATAGGTGTACATTGTTGAACGGTTCATAGTTAACTTGTTTTTAAACATAGCTTGACTTATTGGTTGGTGGGTTTTTTACGACTCATGTTTATATTTTTCTTGTTTAGGTCATTCTGGTTATCTCGATGGCAACAATGAATGTAATAGTTCATGGGTGTTGTTCTTATTGCCCAAGTTTCTAAGGCTAACATTTGCTATTTCATGTCAATATTATATACAACTAATACTTGCAAAACATATTTAGCTTGAATGTAGTACCCTGGGATAAATGTGATGCGAATTTGTTTCATATTACCATGTACTAGTAATGTTTTTTATCTAATTATCACACACACACACACACACACACACACACACACACACACACACACACACACACACACACACACACACACACACACACACACACACACACACACACACACACATATTTAATGGTCTGTCCCTAAGAAAGGATGAGAAGTGTTCAGTAAAACAAAAAATCGTTCACGCTTATCTATGACTTTATGGACAGAAAGTAAAATGGGGATAACGTTAACCTGCCTCTGTACATGAAGCAGAACACATGCAAGAAAATAATGACAACAGCTCTCGCTGTGTTTGCTTCGTAAGTATCCTAAACATATATTCATGTCTTGTATGGTATGATTAATAATCAGCCTTCGTTTTCCATTAAAAAATGTTCTTCGGCTGTAGAGTATTTGTATGGTTTTTTTTATTTTTTTACTTAAAGTTACCGATCGTTTCCTTATTACAGTAATATTGATTTATCTTTTCAAAACCCCTTGAGATCCGTGAAGATCCGTGGTAGAATAGGTCTTCAGAACCCATGCTTGCCGTAAAAGGCGACTGTGCTTGTCGTAAAAGGCGACTGACGGGATCGGGTGGTCAGGCTCGCATGTCGAACAAGTACTTTTTCTCTCTCATTCTCTATTTTGATCGTCGTGGTTCCTTGGTGAGACTCAATGGCACGGTGATGCTAATCTCCTTGTAGCATCCTCATTTCTCGAATATCCCGTTTAGTTCATTATGAGAAATTGTCCACTGAAAGTGCGTGGTATAATTTCTCTTTTAGTCGCCATTGGACAGCCGGTATATGCCGTACTTCTTCATGGTGTGGTGTTTAGCATGTGGAACTACTAATAACTATTCCTATTTGTCACATGTCAATATAATCCACATAGAACTGAAAACAGATACAACAGCGATAGTGGATCAGATAGGACATGTGTCATGAATAAATGGAGGATTATTGTATAAACTAGTAGTTATCCTGAAGTTTCATCTTTTCATTCTGTGCGTAATCCAGGTCTCTGTTTCCATCATGTCGTTCCTTCATCATCAGACTTTCTCCTCGCTCTTCGGCCCTTTTGGCGTCCTCTTCTCTCTTCATCACATTAAGCACATCCCATCTGGTTGACAGCCACCCTCGCCGGAAGACAAGCCTTGTGAACGCTGACACAGATATGATGGCCACAAAGTTGACTATCATCGCCAGGGTCTTGACTGGGAACAGTTGGCCATCGGCTTCTGTGTAAAAGGGGAAATGAATAAGAGCTGGGATTCCTAGCAGGGTGTCCCCAGAAGCGACTCTCAGAAAGAGACTGAGGATGTATCCCGTGATGGCGCCGTAGGTGTTGGTGAACCCGATCCAGAGAACACAGGTGAGTTGGGGGAAGAGGATGACGTACATGAGGTCGGAACACATGTAGTACAGACCATAAACTGACTTCACCAGGATGGCAATGATGCACGACAATGTACCGGTCACCAGTATTCCACCTCTCAACACCCACATCAATTCCCGATCGCTGGCCTAAAGAGAAGAAAAGAAATATGTGATATAGGTCAACGATAGTATTTTCTGGTCCATTAACCGTTTTTAAAGTGTCATTTTCAAAATTGCAGATCCCACATGTTCTAGTTTTTTAATTCCAGGAAACTGTTCGTATCGATCTATATGTGACGATGACTGAAACGCTTGATATAATCGTAATATGCATTTAACGTCACACTGGGTGCACGAGGAATGACGTTATACATGTATATGCATTGTGCATCTCGGTGTCGTGTTACACATTGCATACATCTATCATATACACAGCGGAACAAGCCAATTAAAATCGGAATGTTGTAAAATTGCAGCGTCATCTGGCGTTCTTTATTGTCAACGTTGTTTCTTTGGTGTCCCTTGTACACGCTGACGCTCTTGAGTAAACTCTTACTGTTAGAACTGGGACAGAACCCGATTTTGTGAAAGGCAACATTTTGGATAATCGTGAAGGTCGTGATACTCGTCTTGGGATTTCCAGATAGATCATTTTGATTTACAGAGATACTCTGCTGATAATATTTTGAATACGTTTGGTAAATGATTTATTAAACCTGTTCTGTCTTAAATATTCACATTAGGAATGGTCGTTGTGGCAGTGACGCTGGTATTTGGGACCATACATTCATTAGTAGTACAGGGGCAAATGTAAATAACTATATTATTTCTACCGTCCATATGTTCTACCTATGTAAAGCATCCAACATCGAGTCGCAACATTTTCCATTAGCAATGTCTTTACATACGCTTCGTCCAGGCATCAATAGTTATGATATCAATAATGCAAGTACATGGAGATTTAAATGAAGAACTGATAAAGAAGAAATAGTTTTTGTAACTTATTTTCAGATAAGTTTTTACCACATTTTGAAATAGTAGTTGATGCCGTATTCTCAAGTATTGAGTTTATGAGAGAGGCACTCTCCCGTGAAATGAAGAAATGACGAAAGTAGTTCACAATGATAAGAAACCCCAACAATGGTTTGATTGGGAATGTCAGTTACACAAAAGAGAGATGCACATGCCTCAACAAATTCAGAAGAGATAAAGATATGTGGTCGTTAAGGGAATATACAAGAATAAGAAATCTGTACCAAAGCACGTGCAGGGAAAAAGAAACTTATATTTCTTTAAAAGGAAAAATAATACTTGGAAGATAATGTTAAGTTATCAAAAGAATTTTGGACAACTCTCAAAACGCTAAATCCACATTATAAGTATAAAAATAATAATAAGATTTATAAATGGTGTGATTATTTAAAAAATATGTTGAGTTGTAATGGTGTTACGCACGATATATACATTGAATTATCAGATCAGGGAAAATGTGACTATGACATAATTCCTGCAATTCTTGATTCGCCAATGTCAAGAGATGAAATTCAAAAAGCTATCTTTAGCCAAATGTAGATGCAGTTCTCATAGACTTAGGATCAAAGTAGGCAGACATAGAAACATAGTTAGAGAATTGAGAATATGCGAGCAATGTGATCTAAATGTGATTGAAGATGAGTTTCATTTTCTGTTAGTCTGTCCACAATACGACCATCTAAGAAGTAAATAAACTGAGGGCCAAAAGAAACGTTACCAACATTAACTGATTTGCCACTTTAAAAAAAAAAGGGGCCAACCTGTTAAAAAACAGTAAAGAACATATCTCACGAATACAGCCTTCATGTTCTCTGTCGTTCTTTGCACGTGCTTTGCGGATTTTGGGAGATATTGGTGTTTTTCAGCATTTTTTTAAAACATTCTTTCCCAAATTATCGTGCAATTTCCGGGTATAAATTACGCACGGACCCTATCATTGGTTGCGATGATTAACACCAACGAACATGTCAAGACTGACCGCTATCCAGAGGGAGAGAGCCATAGGTATGCTGCAGATCGGAGCGACACAGAGAGAGGTTGCCATTAACATGAACTGCTCCAAGATGACCATTACCAGACTGGTCGCACGTCTCCGACAGACTGGTAGAACCGCAAACAGAGCACGCAGTGGCAGACCACAGGTCACGACCCCGCAGGAGGACTGCTTTTTACGGGTACTTCATCTGAGGAACAGATTTCTTACTGTGACGTCATCAGCTGCCAACAGCTTAGGACATCCGGTCAGCAGACAAACAGTGACCAGACGACTACGACATTATGGTCTCCGGGCTTATCGCCCTTTCAAGGGCATGATCTTGACCCGTCAACATCGACGTGCAAGATTGACGTGGTGCAGGCAAACTCAGCGATGGCAACAAAGGGAATGGCGGCGAGTACTGTTTAGTGACGAGAGCAGGTTCCAACTCTTCTAACCTGATGGGCGGACGCGAGTTTATCGACGACGTTGTGAACGTACGGCTCCTTGTTGTGTCCAAGAGGTGGAACCTTACGGGGGCGGAAGTGTGATGGTCTGGGGCGGCATATGCGGGGACGAGAAGACGGAACTTGTCAGCATCGAAGGCAATCTGACAGCACAACGCTACACTGACAATATCTTACGGCCAGTGGTTCTTCCTTTCATCCAGCGTCAACAACGGCCGGTGTTCCAACAAGATAACGCCACACCCCATAAAGCCCGTATTACTAGAGACCTCCTCAACGCCAACAACGTGACTGTCCTGCCGTGGCCAGCTCGATCACCTGATCTGTCACCCATAGAACATCTCTGGGACCAGCTGGGGCGTCGTCTTCGGAAACGTCAACATCCTCCCTTCACGAGACAAGCGTTGATCGTTGCCCTCCGTGAGGATTGGAATCAGATACCTGCAGTCGATGTGAGGACGCTTGTCGCCGCATTCGAAGATGCATTGCCGCTCATGGAGGTCATATCCCGCATTGAACGGTCTGGGCCGTCGTCACCTTAAAGGTGTAACCAATGTTGTTGATCGAATACTGGACTAATGACCCCTTGTCAAGAAATGTCCCTGTTGGAGGTCAAGGACTTTGTTGTTGAATTAGTAAATTCGCATGTTACTGTTCTGAATGATGATTTCTACAATACAATTGTTATTGCTGCTTCAAATTGTGTTGGTCATATTTTATCCTAGAAATATCGTTGGTAACGTTTCTTTTGGCCGTCAGTTTATATAGAACTGCCTTTTTATGTACATCCCATTCTACAAAAGAATGCATCGAACATGTCACCAACTGATAAAGATAGCCATGAAACAACTATCAATGTTAATTGATCATGTTATGTTAATTAGAATATGAATATGTTAAACATATTCTGCAACAACTCCCGAAAACAGAATTGTACTATGGGCCTTTGGCCTTTCAGTATGGAATAAAACATATCCTATCCCACGCATTGTTTTTTCTTTTGACTTTTGTTAGAAACACTTAATACTTTATTCGTAACATTTGACTACTGATGCGTACTTGTATCCTTTATTTCAACTGATGTATTTTCTTTTCGAATGGCTGCCAATATACATGTGGAACTTTTAGAAAGTGTTATTATCACAAATGCATAAAAATATGTGGTAAGTATTCATTCTAGGCACTTTTCAAACCCTTCTCGATGTACCTGTGGACGGATAACATCTTTGTAGATATTCTTTGCAAAGATGGTTCCACTTGAGAGGACAGAGGAGTCGGCAGATGACATAACAGCAGCAGCCACCACGCCAAGTCCCAACACTGCCACCGGAAGTGGACACAGGTAGTTGAGCACCATGGGAAGGATAAAACTGTGGTATTCAGTAGGTATTGGTATATCGCCTGTGTAGGATGTGGCATTCCAGTCTGGGGAAACAACATGCTTGTGCTTTAAGATCAAATTCCAAGGCTACAAGAAAAAGCCGTTTGTATCTTTGAAATATCGAAAAACTTTAAATGACACAAATTATGTCAAATCTGAATCATTGTACTCGTCTTCGTAACTAGAACATTACCCTCGCTTTCAACTGATGTTACACGACGTCTGAACAAAATCATTGTGAAGTTGGCCTTTATAAAGCATGGTCCTGAATACTTAATAAATCTATATCAATGTCCTGAAATATTTCACGAACTTTCCTTGTCATGTGAGATGTTCTCAAGAACATCTGCTGGGCTCTACTTTCTACGTTCGCCTCGATTATGTTTTTAAGTTTGTCGGCACCATACCTGTGCTTTTGGGTTTCACCTAAGTGGTAAAGGTCTGAGATCTGCATCACTTCGGGCTTTCTTACATATTAAGCTAACACGCCATGATATAACCGGAATACTGTTCAAGGCGGTGTTAAGCCCAACTCACTCACTACTTACTTCGATAGCTGTTATTGAAATCTAAATGATTGCACTGTCGAAATTATATGTGTTGGAGGTCACTGTGCATTTTTGTCCTAAGCACTTGTTAACAACCTCCCCGAATTCGCACTTTACTAACTGGACGTATAGACGAATCCCTTTTTAAACGGGTGTGCATACATATATCATCTGTACATAACACGTCTCGCAGTGTCGTCACAGTGCAGTGTCATCACAGTGCAGTGTCGTCACAGTGCAGTGTCATCACAGTGCAGTGTCGTCACAGTGCAGTGTCGTCACAGTGCAGTGTCATCACAGTGACGTCAAAGTGCAGTGTCATCACAGTGCAGTTTCATCACAGTGCAGTGTCGTCACAGTGCAGTGTCGTCACAGTGCAGTGTCATCACAGTGCAGTGTTGTCAAAGTGCAGTGACGTCAAAGTGCAGTGTCATCACAGTGCAGTGTCGTCACAGTGCAGTGACGTCAAAGTGCAGTGTCATCACAGTGCAGTGACGTCAAAGTGCAGTGTCGTCACAGTGCAGTGTCGTCACAGTGCAGTGTCATCACAGTGCAGTGACGTCAAAGTGCAGTGTCGTCACAGTGCAGTGTCGTCACAGTGCAGTGTCGTCACAGTGCAGTGTCATCACAGTGCAGTGACGTCAAAGTGCAGTGTCGTCACAGTGCAGTGTCGTCACAGTGCAGTGTCATCACAGATTTAGAACGTTGTGATGATACTTACATTCGCCTTTGACGTAAGACATACGGTAATCAGCGACCTGCCGTAAAATGGGATCACATTTGACATGAAACGCCGCATGATCGATCATTTCATTATATCTCGACGATATCATATCGATCGACTTTTGTCCTTACATCACCCTATACACGACAGTTCGAGTTGCTCATGCACCACAAAGTCCTCCTTAAAGAGGTTAACTCATTTGGTATATTTATATCCAAACCTGCTGCGGCTCCAACTATTCCAATGGCTGCTGGGGGTATGGCAAGAAGCAAGCTACAAAATGCTGCTAGAATCGAACTTGTGCGGGCAATGCTTGGTGTCTTGCAAGCCAACACTCTCTGGTAGAACACCTGTAAAACAAATTTTCATTACTCGAATTAACAGACAAAATATATAGTCAACTACTGTCCAAACTTATGGACGAGATGAAATATCTTATCACGGGCCCGTTCCACTTCAGTGTCTAGACTGGCAGTGACGGTCAAGGTCATCTTGCAGTAAACTGTGTTCTTTCAGCATAAATAATCGCTCAATAAAAAGCTAATCGAACAGATCACACTGAGAACAGATAACACTTTGGGTAAGTTAGTGAGTGTGAGTAATATCACGGCCCAGAAATGAGCTTCCGATATTGTACCTATGAGGGAATCTGACCCAGGCGTTCGGCGTGACGAGCGAACGCTTTAACCACTGGGCTACTCGACCGCCCTCAACACATTGGAAAAGGATCCCGTCGCGAAGATCGTGTGTACTTGAAGTCGATGGTACTGTTACTCCCCTGTGATACTATTTCCAGAACCTATATACATGCGCTAATATTGTCTCTGAGTTTCGAAATGTATATAAAGGTAGTATTAGTGAACACCTTGAACTCACACGTACCGAAACATCCTATGTCAAATGATGAAATGTTCACTTTGTCGGTCCATGAAGCTTAGATTCTAATGAACTCAAGTTGGACTTTGGACTTACCGTTTGCAGTGAAATAGCACTTAATGTCATGGGAACAATCATTATGTCCCATGCTAAGTCAACGTAGGCATCAACGACTCTCCTAATGTACCTACTCTTGAAGGCATATCACACAAAGGAGTATCATGATAAAGACATGAGGTATAACATGTGTTTAAAGATTTGCACTAGGTTGCAAAGTATACAGAGCTCTTTCAGCCTACAGGTCTCCATATGGGACATAAGTGACTGATAAAATAATTTTAGCATTTAAATCATACTTTCCAAAATTAATACTCGGGTATGATGAACATGTGTAATATCATGCATATACCATACCTGCCATGGTAGGCCTCCAAATATGATTTGGCAACAGAGGTCTGCATATAAACCAATCATGTTTGTGGGCAGCTCTCCCAGCCACGTGTCCTGGACCCGTGAGAGGTCGACAGATGGGTGGAAGAAAGAAAAGGGACATGCCACGATCTGAAAAAGAAATTGTAAATACATAAAGTTTTGAGGACAGCTGCGTTGTGACATCGTAATTGTTTCATTCCAGTATAACGTAAGACATTGAAAACGCTGATTTGATTGGGATGGTACGAAAGCAGGGTAGCATGGGGTTTTAGCATTCAAAAGCTGTTCCACTTGACGGAGAGCTATGATTTCGGTTTGGAAATTTAGTTAGAACCCTATCACAGTGAAATACCCTTACCAGTCCCACGCAAAGACAAATGAGCTGGACGACATCAGTGTAGGCCACAGAGTACAGTCCTCCTATGAAGGTGTAGAACACGGCCACGCAGCTAGACACGATGATGGACAAGACGGGGTCCAGATCCAGGATAAGGGACATGGTGGACCCTGTAGCACATGGGAAGTTGTGATTTCAGTAATAGAAAATGTTACTTAATGCAGCCCTTGTTGTGTTACAAACATGCCAGCTCTACAAGCATGGATCCTTTGTAGTGTTACACTCATACCAGCTCTAAAAAACAAGCATGGATCGTCCTGTGTTGTGTTACTTATATACCAGCTACAACTCAAGCATGGAACCTTTGCTGTGTTACAAACATGCAAGCTCTACAAGCATGGATCCTTTGTAGTGTTACACTCATACAAGCTCTAAAAAACAAGCATGGATCGTCCTGTGTTGTGTTACTTATATACCAGCTACAACTCAAGCATGGAACCTTTGCTGTGTTTCACACATACCATCTCTGCAAGTATGGAGCCTTTGTAGTGTTACACACATACCAGCTCTACAAGTATAGATCCTTTGTAGTGTTACACACATACCAACTCTACATGTATGGAGTCTTTGTAGTGTTACACACATACCAACTCTACAAGCATTGATCCTATTTGTGTTACACACATACCAGCTCTACAAGCATGGATCCTATTCTGTGTTACACACATACCAGCTCTACCAGCATGGATCCTTTTCTGTGTTACACACATACCAGATCTACCAGCACTGATCCTATTTTGTGTTACACACATACCAGCCCTACAAGTATTGATCCTATTCTGTGTTACACACATACCAGCTCTACAAGCATGGATCCTTTTCTGTGTTACACACATACCAGCTCTACAGGTATGGATCCTATTCTGTGTTACACACATACCAGCTCTACAAGCATGGATCCTTTTCTGTGTTACACACATACCAGCTCTACAAGCATGGATCCTTTTCTGTGTTACACACATACCAGCTCTACAAGTATGGATCCTATTCTGTGTTACACACATACCAGTTCTACAAGCATGGATCCTTTTCTGTGTTACACACATACCAGCTCTACCAGCATGGATCCTTTTCTGTGTTACACACATACCAGCTCTACAAGCATGGATCCTTTTCTGTGTTACACACATACCAGCTCTACAAGTATGGATCCTATTCTGTGTTACACACATACCAGCTCTACAAGCGTGGATCCTTTTCTGTGTTACACACATACCAGTTCTACAAGCATGGATCCTTTTCTGTGTTACACAAATACCAGCTCTACAAGCGTGGATCCTTTTCTGTGTTACACAAATACCAGCTCTACTAGCATGGATCCTTTGCTGTATTAAACACATACCAGCTTTACAACCATGGATCCTTTGCTGTGTTTTGAAAATACCGATGCAAACGTACGAGACCCTCACCACTTACACTCTGCTTTTCGGGTTAACCTTCTAATTCTTTTAAATTATAATGTATCATCTTACCCAGAGCTGACAAGATGGCGGCTGTCCAGAAGACATCTCCCATCAGCTGGGGGAAGAAGAGCAGACTTCCGGCACGACCCCCCACCTTTGCCTGGATGGGGTCGAACATGGTGATATATCCTCCTCTCCTCATCTTAGGCGCGTAAAACACTCCAGCTGAGGATTTATAGTATACAGTTGATGTATTGAACTCAAACAGATTGCGGAGCTAAAATAACACTAACCAAAGTTGGAATCGTACATGAACTTTTATTTTCATTATGGAAATGGTTTTGACGCTTTTATTTAAAGATTCATCTTCCTGCATAACATGGTGAACAATATAGCAACTACATATGATCCGTCAATTCTAAATGTACATAAGCTGAAATATTGTTCAAGATAATGAATATCACCAAACTGTTCATTACTGAAAAATACATGACAGTCTAACATTAGAATGACGTCATAGATGTGTTTTAACCGTTGTAATAAAATTATCAAATAGAAATTAGAATATTTCAAGAAGTAGGTATCCATGGGCACCGATTGTGTTAACCTTCTTGATGATCCATTTCTTAATGCATATGAATCGGAATTTCTACTCGCATTGGGAAAGTAAAAACAAGGTATTTTGGACAAGAAGTTTCACTTAAACTTCAGGTATGACGATGATTTGATATCGTTCAATAACCACCAAATAGCCAATTCTCTTCCACTGATTTACACACCTAAACTAGAAATAATGGAGACCAGTGATGCCGCCTCACATGTTTCATAAAGATTCAGAGTGATAAAACACTCTCCTCCACATGTATGTACATGTATAACAAGAGGGATAACTTCAACTTTCCAATAGTCAATTTGAGGATAGGGGACATTTCCGAATTTGACGCACCTGAGACAAAAATTATGTCAGATGCAATTCACTGTTTTGGCTTGTGCCACACGTTCACTTATTTATTTTTCCGGATGGGTAGATAGCCTGTCATTTCGTGTGGTTGTGGTGGGTGCCGCCGGTAGGACGGGGAGCACTCGCCATTTTGCGAGTGCCTGGTGTCGTCACTGTTTTTTTTGCATTTTAAATAATTTTTCAATTGAAGAAATCTACGGTGTTCCAAATCTAAACGTTGATGTTAAATAATATGTCCCGTGTACTTCATGATGATGTAGATGAGGTATTGAGGTAAAAGTTGTCATTAAGAAAACATAAATTATATGTAGTATTTGTAGATTTTTAAAAAAACATTTGACCTGGGTGGGAAAATGTATTCCGTCTTGAAAGCTATGTTCGCAGATGTTAAATCATGTGTTGGTAGTGGATATGATGTCACAGACTATTTGGATTGTCGGAATGGTTTGGGTCAGGGATCTACATGAGTCCTATTCATTTCTCCTTCTTTTTCAATGAATTGTATTTTGAAATTCTTACTTCTGGTATACATGGTGTACATGTTCCCTAATTTATTAGAACTTCCAGTTCTGTTTTAAACTTGGAAATGTTTCCCTAAATGTTGTTTTAAAACTTTTCGATACACAAATACGACCGATTGTACTTCGTGGTTCAGAAGTATGTAGATTCCAAAGATATGAATGTCTGGGAAAAAATCTTTTGGCGCATTAAAAATATTTTATATATGCCGAATTCTACAGTTTACGGTGAATATAGTAGGTATCCTCTACACGTATTATCATAAATTCTAGACACATTTTTTAGATAAACACGAACAACGTCAACCGAAACTAGCATGCACTATGTTTTTACATTTAGATAGTATAGGTAAGATTACATGGGCTTCACACATTAGAAACCTTTTATTTCCATGCGGTTATGGCATTGTCTGGTTGTCCTAGACAGTGAGTAATGTTACTATGCTTTTGAACGATTTCCGGGAATGCTCCATAAATATATTTCTTTAAAAATTTGCATTCAATTTTAAACGGAAATGCACGATATTGAATCCTACAGATCGTTTAAACGTTTCCTTGAACCTGAACAATACCTTTTCGTACTAATGTCTCGAAAATATCGTGGTTTTCTTTTCAGATTTAGATTGTGGTTTGTCAAAATTTATTATCAATGCAGATAGAAAAATAGGTAACAATAAAAATGAGAGAACATGTATGTTAAGTGAAAAAGGTATAGAAATGAAATTCACTTTATCTTTACATATCCAACTTTTAGTGATTTTAGAGTTCAATATATACCAAAAAAGTATTTACGTGAACCTTCTGAATTAACATTCCCTTCTTTTATGACCTCTAGAAATGATACTGATATTCTACACATGTGACTTTATTCAAAGCATGCAATTATCTTAAGAAAAAACATCGTAATACTGCATATCACGTTTATATGTGTAAGTTGCTGTATATTGTGTTTACTCTGTAACTTTTGCATGTGGACCGGAGGCCTAAAATGCAAGAAATGTTCTTCATCTCCTACTTGTTAAAATATAGAGAACAAAATAAGGAGAACAACATCTTGTTGCAGAGACACCAGACTGCCTTTTACGGAATATTCGTAGAGAATGGAAGACATGGAGAAAACGTTCTTCATTTATCAGTAAATATTATTTTGAAGACGTTGAAATATAACATGCCAACGTCAGAGAATCATCAGTCTCGATCATCTGCTGAAACAGATTCCATTGGGCGTAAACCACACAATAGTGATGAAAATTATAGGAATGGATCATTGAAAATCAAGAGTTCGAGAAAAGTCATTGACATCGCACTAAGTGTGTTAAACTGGTAGCAACACAGACGAACCTCGAACAAAGACTGAAGAGGTAAACATTGTCATATATTTACCCACCATTCATAAGACAGACACCCGTATGAGGACCACTACGAATAGTATCAGTACTAGAAGCGGAAAATGAACTCTGCAATCTTTTAAATGTTATTATGCTATCAAATGGGACACACACCTATGTTTGGCTTCACGAAGAGAAATGAGGACGTTTTGGGTAAAATTTTATTTATCTTCAATCCCCTTTGAAGATTTATTGATCGATTAAATATTTACACGCCTGTATAATTTCTCTGTATGTGTTTCATTAAATTCATCTTACCAATGATGATGGAAATGCAATAAAGAATGGGCACATTAGTCCAGATGAGGCCGCTGTATGCCATGGCTTCCGCTGTACCGTTGAGGTAGCCTCCCCCGACGTTAGTTGCTGAAGAAGCGTGTATGTATATCATCAGTCTCGATATAACAAAGGGAAGATCCAGAGGATAAAATTGCAGCATTTTAATGTACAATACCATGTTTGACAGTTACATTTGTAATGTTATCATTTGTAACAATACAAATAATCTGTATACAAATGTATTTCCAGTTCCGACTATGCTATTTGAGGCGGCAGTGGAGCCCATTGGACAAAGTGCTGCCATTCGCTGTGTTGAAGTTGCGTCCCTTATCCGTACCAGGATCCGAATCAGATTATGATCTTTAATTTGTGACACCATTCCCTGATTGTTGAATTCACTTCGGTCTTTCCTCCAGCATGAAACTGACACGCTTAGATATATACTACTCAACTTTTGATAGGGATAATCATATATGTCATTCTATTTATATACTACTGACTTAGGCTGATGAGGTTGAAGTGCACATTTACAATACCGTGGAGATGCATCTGAGCACAACATCTAATCACAATGAAATATCATATCATGCATGAACAGCATATGATGCATGTATACACAGCAGCCACAGTGGGTGCGCCTGTGGGGGAACTCACAATCACAAATGCAGTTGATCTAAGCACTTGATAAAAAATGCCTCCGAAACTGTACTTACTGTCGTGCCCAGGCCGTCACCTACTATCTCCTACGAGAAAGCTACGGACATGGGACTGGCCGGATAGGCCCTTGACATGTCCCCCAATAGACCATCTATGAGTTGTTCTTGGGCGGAGAGTGTTCGCCAGAGACCCAGCACCTGACACCGTGGCCCCGCCTGAGGAAGCTTCTCAAGTGGAATGGCGGGCAGTACCAAGGGCAACCATATTCAAGTTAATCAACTGTATACCAGCAAGGAGTCGTTTATATATCACCCACCATAGTGAACACATCAGATAATGATCTACACGCCCGAGGATCATTTACCGACATTTATCTTCATTACACCTTCTCTTTCCTTTTTTTTCCTATTATGAGAAGGATTTTTCTTTGAATGATAAAAAATATCCCTACCAAAAGTGGAATAGTATAATTTAGATAATGAGAACAGTGACGTTTAAGGTAACTATCAGACTTCGTGATCACACTACTTTACCAAAGGAACCTGGTCCTTGGTGATTTCAGAACATCAGAAGTCTGCACCTTAGGGTAATATATCGGTACCAACCAGTCAGCGTAAAGAAAGACAGCCACATTCCGATGCTCCTGTTGGCCACAAATGAGTCTTCAGCACTCTTATTTCTGCTTTTCCTTGCAGCGATGATTCCGATGACGAGGATGAGGATGTAGAACACGATGACGGAGATGAGCCCGGGGACGTTCACAGCCATGATGAGGCTTAATATAGTTGTGCAGTATTAGCATCAACTGATGAAACTGGAAACAAAGAAGCAGAGAATTTTCACCAACATTAATTGTACACACTCTACGTGTACCAATGTCTAGAGTCTGATTAATTAGTACCAAGACTTGTTTGATAGAGGGGTGCATTTCACTGACACCCCTTGTGTTATACTGCGTTTGCGCTGTTTGTTGGACTAAAACGTTTTGACGTCATGAACAATCACACAACCTTTGATGATTAAATTACAATAACGGCTAAATGTATATAATTATCATAAACAGCCCGGAAGTGTGGACCACTGTAACGTGATAATTCCCTCACTTTGCAATTGCCTCACGACTGGTTATGATTAATCACTCTCTCGAGTCACCTGATGGTATAAAGGTCGATGATGTCCCGCGCATACATTTAGAAGAAAATAGGGTCCATCGTGTAATGATTTTCTAAACAATTGATTCCAAGGCAATTTGTAGAGAATGGTGCATTCCACTGTCAACCTTTCATAACTCTTGCTTTATAATGCCATTGCACTGTTTGTAGATCTAAAGCATCATGACGCCATTAGCGGTCCTAGTAGTTTTTTGCTGATAAAACAACTTGATTTAACACTTTAAGAAACAAGAAGGTTAGATTCTCGATATGTCTTTAAATTTCTATTTACAATAAGGATGAGTCGTTTTAACCGCAAATATAAGCTCCAGGAATATACAAGACTAGTTAACAGGTTTGCGTTTTGTTTCAGTCAAGCTGCCAGTGTAACTGCGGTGCAATTGATATAGTACAACTCACAGCGCTGTGCTCGAGACCCGTCAAACTTTATACTGATCCGATTTGTTTTGTTGGTTTGGTGTTTAATACCGCGATATCGACGGTTTGTTCATAATCGAGTCTGGACCAGACGATCCATCATGAGCGTCGATCCCACGCAAATGAGATACAGGCGACAAAAGGACATTTTTATGGTCAATACGTGTCGTCCTAACTAATTTGTGTAACAATGGCGTTTAAGTGCGTGATAATACCATATATTTTGACCTTTAAAAGTGTCGCGTTCTCGCATTGTCGCCCTTTCATGAAAACAAAACGTATTTCGACGCAGACATTGCGACCAATGGTACGAATATTGCGTTGTAGTGATTTCCCACTTTGGTTAATTTTGACAAAAATCTGGGATTCCATATATAAGATTAAAATAGATTGATTCTGGTGTTTGGCTGCCTACAAGTTGTCCATACGATGGAGTTATACGAATTAGCATCATAGTTTGGGAGGTGATGGCTGGGGCTGAATTAGATTCAGGTGTATGATTGTTTGTTTGTTGTTTAACGCAGCACTCAGCAATATTCCAGCTGTATGACGGCGGTCTGTAAATAATCGAGTCTGGACCAGACAATCCAGTGATTGACATCATGATTGACATCCACGCAAATGGGATACAATGACATGCATCGACCAAGTCAGCGAGCCTGACCACCCTCTTACGACAAGCATCGTCGCCTGTTACGGCAAGCATGGGTTGCTGAAGCTGGACCTATTCTACCTTGGATCTTCACGGTTCTCAGGCGTATGAACCGGAATACATCGGAAAACATTTTGAAAAGCAAAAGATGCTTATTTGCATTATTGAGAAGTGAGTTTGTATGTTCAATATATAGTCTTACTATTCAAGACCCGATTACAGTTGAAAGGGAAAAGTTATGAATATTGTATGCCATCACAATGAACTTACTTGATTCAATCATAAATGGTAGGAATGATATGAAAAGAATCATTGATCGAGCAAAATGTCGAATATTCTTCCGAAAAAGAACATGTATTCAGGTTCTGAAAATCACAGAATGATACAATGTAAATATCCATTGTTCCCTCATGAGCTCGTGACAAAACATAAATAAACACATGTACAAGTGTCCCCACGACGAGCATGATGTAACACTACAAAAACATGATGCGTGTACACTGTAATGCACTGACTGCTCACTTGTTACGTGAAACCGTGAAAATGTCAAGTTGTCACAAAATATGGAGACTATTTAGTTTCTCACACAATGCATAAACCCAAAGCCACTGGTTTTATAATATAAAACTTGCTAAAAACCCCATTACACCGGACGGCGACCTTTCTGCGACCGTTCTGCGTTCTTAAGTTTTGCCAGGTCGGCGTTGAAGGCAGAGGGGTCGCAGAACGGTCGCGTAGAGCGCACAAGGGAGGCAGAGGGAACACTCAGCCATCGCCAAGAGCGCCACTGTCGCTGAAAAGTTTTGAACCTGCTTAAAACAGTCGCAGTGAGATCGCCGTCGATGTAAGTCGCTCAAGGGAGGTAGAACGGTCGTAGGAGCGATTACACCAAAAGAGAGTTTTCTTGAGTATGGCGACCCCACTGCGCTCTAGTCAAGTTTCAGAACGCAGAAGGAGCGCAGAGCGATCGCCGTTTGGTGTAATGGCCCCTTTAATTAGATGTAAACACATTTGAAGATACATCTATGTGTTTAAAGTTGGTTTTGACAGCCCGGACAAAGTCGGACCCAACACAAGCCAAACACATTTGATAGAGACTGTGTTGAGAATGTAGAGGGAAAAGGGCTCTACTTTGAGCACCTTGGTTTCTTTAAATACGATGTACCGTGACATTATAAAAACACTTTTCTTTAATTACCGCAATATGAGACAATAAAGTGGTATATAATTAGATATAATACTAGTCTTTAGATAAAGAATGTTACTAACACGTGTAGTGTCAGCTCTATAACATTCGCTAATATCCACTTCCAGAAAACATCCTGTGTTGGTTTAACATGAATTAGTAAAGGTTAATTAGGGATGCCCAACACGTTAATTAATGAACGAAGAGAAGTCAAAACACTGTCGTTTCCTGCCCAGGACATCACACCCCTACATGCTAAGGTCGGTGAGAAACATTCTCATCAAAGAAAACACACAGTCAAGACACTGACTTTTCTACGAGGACTCACGGTATGTAGTCATAATTATCAGTTTGTTACATTGTTGAAGATGCATTTCGATTCAAACTCAATCAAATGAACAAAACTATACGTTTGTGGACATTTGAGATCTGCCTAGATATGCACCTTTCGTTTTATTATTCTGCAATCCATTTTTAGTATTACCCGCTGGCCCGGCCCGGCCCGACTTTTAGGCAATCCCGTAATGAATTTATGTAGGAGAAGGCCTCGTACGTGTGTCACTTGTGCCTAATCCATTTGATTTTCTTCAAACAAATATGTTTAAATCAAATAAATCAAAAACTGGGATTCAATTAAATTTAGTGACTGAGTATGGCTTTTAACTGCTTTCAGCAATATTCCCGCAATATCACAGCGGGGGAAACACAATTACACACAACTGCCCTTCGGTGTGACGAACGAAAGTTGATGCACATGGACACACACAACCGTCACGCGCTCACTCAGCTGTAAGATATATATGCATAAAAGAAGTGCAGTGTATCGCCATGAGTGTGACAAACACTCCACATCCATATCCACAAACACTGACAAAATTAATTCAATCTGCAATACCTATGTACCTAACGAGGACACTGTCTGCTCCGCCGCAGGAATAAATCTCTCTTGCCACTGTTATATACTTGCACACACCCGAATGTGATTAACACGCCTACATGTTTCATGATGGGTGTGTTGCTATGTTGAACTATGTTATGTAGTATGCATCTACTCCTACAGCTATAGCTAGAAGATCGCAATGCGCGGAATAGTCAACGTCAAATAGCACAGTATTTGGGCAACTACACAACTCAAAACACAGTTTACAATCGCAGAAACAGGCCCATTTTCATGATGTGTACCTTGCAGATACATATTGACGTAGCAGTACTTACAAGGTTGTTGTATCTGAAGACTGGGCCAAACTAGGGCACGTCAGGATGTCACACCGCTCCGCCGGGCCTATATCTTAGTGCGCGAGAGTGAAAAGTAGGCTATCTAAACAAATTGCCCTCATGTTGCATATTGTAATCTGTTCGGAAATCGCCCACGTTGTGTTGCAATGTGATTATTCTACATGGTGCAGTGTTCACCTGTCTGGTGTATACAGTTACAATGTAAATAGTTCACCTGTTTGTGGTGTACACAGTTACAATGTACATACTTCCCTATCTCGTGTATACAGTTACAGTGTATATAGCTCTTTTGTCTGCTGAATACAGTTACAGTGTATATAGTTCCTCTGTCTGGTGTGTACAGTAACAGTGTATATAGTTCTTCTGTCTGGTGTATACAGTTACAGTGTATATAGTTTCTCTGTCTGGTGTGTACAGTTACAGTGTATATAGGTCTTCTGTCTGGTGAATACAGTTACAGTGTATATAGTTTTTCTGTCTGATGTATACAGTTACAGTGTATATAGTTCTTCTGTCTGGTGTATACAGTTACAGTGTATATAGTTTTTCTGTCTGATGTATACAGTTACAGTGTATATAGTTCTTCTGTCTGGCGTATACAGTTACAATGTATATAGTTTTTTTGTCTGGTGTATACAGTTACAATGTACATAGTTCACCTGTTTGGTGTACACAGTTACAATGTACATACTTCCCTATCTCGTGTATACAGTTACAGTGTATATAGTTTCTCTGTCTGGAATGTACAGTTACAGTGTATATAGTTCTTCTGTCTAGTGTATACAGTTACAGTGTATATAGTTCTTCTGTCTGGTGTATACAGTTACAGTGTATATAGTTCTTCTGTCTGGTGAATACAGTTACAGTGTATATAGTTCTTCTGTCTGGTGTATACAGTTACAGTGTATATAGTTTTTCTGTC